AAGCCTGGTATTCTATTTTCCTCCACCAATCTGAGGATTTTAGTCATTCCTGTATTTTAATAATGTCTGCTTGCTTGCTTAATGAAAAAAAAAAATCCTATTTTGTTAACAATTTTAGAAGAAGTTAATTATGCTTTGGAACTTTTATTATATTATTATTCTGTTTATAAAAAAACACCCATTTTATCATGGCCTATTAAAAAAAAGAAAAAGAAAAAACCCTGTCTACTAATGATTTTATGCGTTGAGCCATGAGCCAGTTTATATATATACAGTCCCCTTCTATTGAGGGATCCCTCAAATAAATTATTTGAGGGATGCCCTTTAGGGTACCCTACAATTTTTTTTCCAATGATCAAAACCATCTATTTTTCAGGTCTTCATTCATAGATCATCCTTACAAAAAATTAGACAAATCGGAAACCGTTTCGACATCCAATTGTGTCCTACAAAATCAATGAACACGGTGCTTCAAGAAAATACTAAAATTTCAATAACTCAATTGCATGGTCAAAAGATATCGGATTCAAGTGATTTTTTGTAGAGATGATCTTTGAATGTGTATCTACAAAATAGACGGTTTGGATTAGTGAAATACAATCCGGAGTGGGTCCTACAAGGCGTGTCCCTCAAATAAGCTTATTTGAGGGATCCCTCAATGGAAGCTCTCTGTATATATATATATATATGAAGAGTGGTTTCTGGCAAATCCAAATAGATGAGTCAGATAGATATAAGACTGCATTTGTCACCCCTTTCGGTCATTATGAATGGAATGTGATGCCAGCCAAGAATCCTTCAGTAGCCATCCTTACCAGTTGAAAACCCTCTAGTCGTCCAAATTACAATATAATTATTCTGATTATATTGAAGCCTGGTATTCTATTTTCCTCCACCAATCTGAGGATTTTAGTCATTCCTGGTTTATCAATTTTGACAATAAATTCAAAAGTCTTTTTTCCTACTGGTTTCTTCATTAGTGGGAAAAGCATGGTCCAGTTGACGAAATTCTTCCAGTTTCTGTTCTTGAGTTAATCCGTCATTTCACCAAAAAAGCCAAATTTGCCAAAGTTGATTTATTTTTCCCTAAACAAATGCTTTTTATTGCCCGGTATAAGGTTCCTTGGATTCTCAAATGGTCTTATAGGGTAACCATGGATACCAGAGTTCTAAGCTTCTGAGTAGAAGTTCTGCAGTTGCTTCTTCTTCTTCCCTTTTTCTTTTTGAGTCATTTGTTGATCTTTCTCTAAGGTCTGACCTGTGAGTCCTTTTTCCAAACAGTAAGACCCCAGTGTAGAGGGCCTGAGCGGTGGGCAGGAGACAGAAAATTGAGAGAGGTTAATAAGTTTCTTGTAGAGAAAATGGTCAGTTTAGGAAGCCCCTGTTTATCTTCTTCTTTAGTCAGCCAATCCCAAACACTTGAGTAGTCATGAGTCGTTTATTTAGAACAAATTCCTGTAGTTCAAGCAGTTCTAAAACCAATATAAGCCGACTCCCTGAGATAGTTAATGAAGAACAATGTCTCTAAGCAATTTCTCTGAAAAAGGACTCACGGGTCAGACCTTAGAGAAAGATCAACAAATGACTCAAAAAGAAAAAGGGAAGAAGAAGAAGCAACTGCAGAACTTCTACTCAGAAGCTTAAACCAGCCACTTGGGACTCATGCTTTCCTTGAGACTCATGCTTTTGTCATACCATGAGGAAGATGTGTCTGGCAATTTAACCCCAGTGTAATTTAGGAAGCCATCTCCAGAGCTGCAAGCCAATGGAATCTTTCTAACACACCCATCAGACCAATATCCTGAATTCCAATCTTTTGGAGATTTTGGTACAAATCCCTTCAAGCATGCACATATGGGAGAGACATTGACCCTGCAACTAGTATATGCACCACACAAGGCATAATTCTGACACTGATCTGCCTGGAATGTAGAGGACTGTTCCCAACTATGTGTTCGGTACACCCATGTGAATCGCGCTGCAGTGCCTGATGGATTCAACATATATCTCGAGAACGTGGACGTGTTTAGAAGCCTGTACTCATAATAGACCTCATCCTTGTTCAACACAAATTCATACTCCGATGTTGGGCTTGCTTGTGTTTGTTGAGAATATGGATATGCTGTAAAATGAAGGCCGTTCCATGACCCTGCTCTAGACATTATCTTCGCTCCTTTCATAACAAAAATTTGTGGGAAACCACGACGATCCATCCGTAATGAAAACTGTCCTGAAGAAGGATCTTCTGTGCTCCTCCAAGATGAGACGTACCTATCTAAACCAGTAACCAAGTCCCAACCAAGCTTCATTTCTGGTAGGAATGTGTCACAAGGATAATCAAAACTCTGCCACAAGAATTTATCAGGGTTAGTTTCATTTCCATCTTTCAAAACAAGATTTCCTGAATCCATGAGTTGTGATACTGGATTCCCTGCAGTTGTTGATGAATTTGATGACCATACAATCCTGTTTGTGCTATTGAGAAGGACTAGAACTCCTTGCTCAGTGACCTTCAAAACTCCTGAAGAATCGCCAAGTGGTCTTTCTCTGTTAGCTACCCATACAACTGTCTCAGTATGAACAGAGTACCATATTCCTAAGTATCGACCTTTTGATGTACCAGGGCTAAAGAATCCCAGTTGAAAGCTTCCACCTGCTGAAACTAGAGTTTCACCGTCTCTCATAGATCGACTTGGAGTGATTGTGTCTGGTGTGGTTGTAGTTGAGATACTTAGGAAAGAGAACAAGAAGGAGCAGACCAAAAGGCTTTTCATGGCTTGCATTTGATACTCTGAGACTAAATATTTTTATACCCAAAAAAATTAGCACATAAATTAGGCAGAGAAGATGGAAGAGCTAAAAACTATAAGTAAAAGACATGTTTCTATACTGATAATAAGTATGCTTATGCCAATTTCTCTGGGTTTGAAAAGTTGGCCTCTGTGAAAGGTAGTCATTGACTATGGACCATTAGGACCGTTAGGAAAATAACAGGGTTAATGACTTAAATGGTCCCCCAACTATCGCGAAATTATCATTTTGGTCCATCAACTAAAATTTTCAATTCAAACGTCCTTAAACTTTTTATAATGTACCAAAATCGTCTTTCCGTCAAAGTCTTTGTATTATTCTGTTAAATATACTCACCTAAAAATACAGTTTTGTCCCTCGATTTAACGGAATAATACACAGACTTTGACGGAATGACGATTTTGGTACATTATAAAAAGTTTAAGGACGTTTGAATTGAAAATTTTAATTGGTGGACCAAAATGATAATCGCGCGATAGTTGGGGGACCATTTAAGTCATTAACCCAAAATAACAAGATATGTTTCAGAAGTTGCCGTATGCCTTCTATTGAGAAGGACTAGAAGCCTTGGTCAACGAAGAATCAAGTGGTGTTTCTCTGTTTGCTACCCGTACAACTGTCTATTAGCCTTGATATCTAGCATTCAAATATATGTGCTTTTGTATCTCCATCTAGTTGCCATAAGAGACGTGAATGAGTCATTGGTTGACAAAAAAGATAAGACCAAAACTATAGGATAAATTATCGATCAAAAAAATAATTATTAAAAAACAAAAAAACTAGGCACAATCACTCCACGTGGAATGACATGGCGCAAACTAACCAACCATACTTTAGAACTGTTTCGAAAGTCACTTGTAAACTTGAAGCTTCTCCCTACAAATTATAAGATGCAAAAGCCATTAAAACAATAAGATAGCATGCTTTCAAAGCTACCCATCAATGTCTTTGACCTCACCCGAGCCTTAGGTTCACGGTAACCCCGCCTATTTACGACGTGCCTGTCACTTGTTCGACTAAATTCCCGAACCAAACCGGCGTGCATAAACCGTGTTAATATTAGCCCACACGCGACATGAATGCATAAAGCTTTTACTTCTATCGGTTGCAACGGCATGAGTCAGCCTCTTTGGTGTTCCTCTTGCCTCTCCTCCCTCCTATGTTTTCATCTTTTATTGTTATCATTTGTTCACTGTAACAATAGAAAAGTGACTGGCAACTGACCAGCCAATTGGGAAAAACCCAAAAGTGATAACCTGTGGAAAACCCCATAACACAACAATGCATATGAGGAACAACCATTTGGGCTGCCATTTGAATTCAACAAACATGAAATTACAAGTCTCTCACGTTTTTAACAATTCACACTTTTTCTGCTTGTTGGTTGACAGTTTTGAACACTTCTATGTATACCTTGGGGAGTAAGAACATAATTAAGTTTTTTTTTTGGGGGAAAGATATTGTATTTAACAAATATCATAAAATGTGTACAATGTCAATCGATAACCAGAATAGTTTATCCACAACCCAGAAGTAACGATCAGGAATGGAAGTAGAATCTTAAATTTTGTTAAATAATTAAGTTAAATACATGGCAAAGCATACCCCTTAAATTTTCTTCAACCCAACAACCCCAAATCCTTTCTTTGTTGTGCAGTAGAAACTGTTCCAAGCAAACTTATAATTCAATCACATCTTTCTTGCATAATATTAATAATCTCATGTCATTGTTTTCCAACTAAGGCTGTAGACAACCTGCCCTATGCAATTTTGTGAATGGTAGACAGAAGCATGAACAAGCACCAGAATGATGATCTACCGAGCCTCTATTATTGTAATGGAAGTATTTGCTGAACACCGGCGTGTACTTAAGTGTGATTCAGGGACACTTCGCTCGGTGTAAAAACCAGGCTGCTTTGGTGGAGGCAAGGTAACATCACTGCTCAACATTAGAACCACCGATGGCATGCTTGGTCTATCTTCAGGTACTCTTTGCACACATAACAGCGCCACATGAAGACACCTTAACACTTCAGATATGGTGCACGAATCACGTAATATCTTATCAATCAGTTCCAATGGTTTATCTTCAATCCATAGTATCCATGCCTTAAAGAATTGAAACATATACAATATGTTAACTGGGTGGCATGTAATTGGAGCATTGCTACATCAACCCTCTATACTGTTATATGGCATGTCATTGAAAGAAGGAGGTGCTGAGAAGATTACACCGTCTAATTCGCTAGGTTCTTCAAAGTAAAATGATAGTACTTATTAATGCTTTGTACTCACATGTCCAAGAAGGTTAAGGTGGTGATCTGGGTTAGAAAATCCCCTGTTCTTTTGCCTACTCAACATCTCTAGCAGTATTACTCCGAAGCTAAAGACATCAGATTTCATCGAGAAAATTCCATCTACTGCATATTCGGGAGACATGTAACCACTGCACCATCAAAATAAGTTGAGTAAGAATTTCAACAAAAACAACACAATGTAAAATGTAAACCATAGAAAATATACTTACTACGTTCCAACCACTCTTTTTGTATTACCCCGACTTTGATCAGTACCAAATGTTTTAGCGAGGCTGAAGTCTGAAATCTTAGGGTTCATATTATCATCAAGCAGGATATTGCTAGCTTTCAAGTCTCTATGGATAATTCTCAATCTAGAGTCTTGGTGAAGATAAAGAAGCCCTCTAGCAATTCCACCAATAATGTGGAAGCATGTAGCCCAGTCGAGCAACTTTTGTCCCTCATGATCTGAAGAAATTTTGATCCTATTAAGTCAATGCACCATTGAATCCTTGCAGAATAACATTAAAGATGGTATGACCTAAAAGCCATATGGTTGGCTTCAGGGAGGACCATACCAAAAATAAAGAAGTCCAAGCTTCTGTTGGTCATGAATTCATATATCAAAAAAATTTCATCTTCTTGAATGCAACAACCCAAAAGCTTTACAAGATTGCGATGCCGAAGTCAGGCTATCAGCATAGCTTCATTTTTGAACTCCCTCAGTCCTTGTCCGGAATCCTTTGAAAGCCTTTTCACTGCAATTTCTTTCCCTCCTATCAATGTACCTATGTTAGAGTTCTTAGTTTGTATATGTATTTTCCGATTTAGGAAGAGATGTATTTTCTGGAGATTTCAGCTAGAGAGAATGAAGAGAAAATGAGGAAGGCACTGTTCTATTGAATTCTTACAAAACTGCCGCTTACATAGTGTGACTGACGTAGAGAGAAATGTGATTCTCTTCTAACAGAATTACAACTGTCACCCTATTAGGTGCTTACACGTGTCATACCAAATCTAGGCTAGAGAATCCACCTAGACTATGATCTAATGGTTCTCATTACATCATTTAAAATAGACAGAACAAAAAATAGAAAATTACTTCTGCTCTAACAAATCAGGCAGAACTGAACAGTCAGGCAGAACTGAACAACTCAGACAGAACTGGACGAATCAGGCAGAACTGGATTAAATCAGCCAGAACAGGAGAAAATCAGCCAGAACAGGATTATATTGCAACACTCCCTTCTAATCCTTTAGCTGATTTCACTCCAAGCAAGCTTCTCAACCTCACAAACCGATCCTTAGGCAGAGCCTTAGTCAAAATGTCTGCTATCTGATCTTCTGTCTTGCAGTAACACGAGTAAAATGCAAAAACCACGATGGTAATGCCGAGTGTCAGGATTCCCAGCGTAGTCAGCATTGGAAAAGGCCGTGAGATGTGAATGACCAGGTTTGTACAGAAGACCATGATTGTACGTGGCTTTAACATAGCGAAGTATCCTCTTGACTGCCGTCCAATGCGTAGTTGTTGGAGAGTGCATGAACTGACAGACCTGGTTCACAACATAAGAAAGATCGGGTCTGGTGATGGTTAGATACTGTAGCGCGCCAACTACACTCCGATACAAGTCTGGACTGTCATGTGGCTCACCATCATAAGCACTCAATTTCTGGCCGCAAGGAACTGGAGTTGAAATTGGTTTGGCATCCAAAAAGTTGGTACGCTTCAACAAGTCCAAGGCATACTTAGCTTGACTCAAATGCATCTGAGTCATTCATATATTGTACTTCAACTCCTAGAAAATAATGTAGTGGACCCAAATCCTTCATGGAAAATAAAGTTCCCAGTTTTTTGATTAAGCAACCCATTTGTCGTGAGCTATTTCCTGTCAACAAAATATCGTCCACATATATCAACAGAATTAAGTAAATACCTCTGTGATTGTAAACAAACAAACTATAATCACAAGTGGACGCTTCAAATCCCAATTGAAGCAAAAATTCTGAGAACCGATGAAACCAAGCACGAGGAGCTTGTTTCAAGCCATTGATACTCCGTTGCAGTTTACAAACATAATTAGGATATTGCTGATCAACAAAACCAGCAGGTTGTCTCATAAACACATCCTCGTTCAAAAATCCATGCAAAAATGCATTCTGTACATCCAATTGTCTAATAGGCCACCGTTTGGAAACCGCAAGACTAAGAACAAGTCGTATGGTGCTGTGCTTCACCACAGGACTAAAGGTTTCTGTATAATCAATGCCAGGCTTCTGATGAAATCCGTTGGCAACAAGCCTCGCCTTATACCTTTCTATTGAGCCATACGCACGCTGTTTAAGCTTGAAAACCCACTTGTTAGGCAACAAATTCATTTGTGGATGATACGGAACAAGTTTCCAGGTACCACAACGTTGTAGTGCGTTGAACTCGATAAACTTCCTCCTTTAGAATACCATTGAGAAAGGCAGACTTTACATCCAGTTGAAATAGGTTTCATTCCTTTTGTGCTGCAAGAGCAATCAAAGTCCTAATGGTGTCTAGCCTTGCCACAGGGGCAAAAGTCTCATTGTAATCAATACCGGGCTTTTGTGAGTAGCCTTTAGCCACTAAACGAGCCTTGTTTTTCTGCACAGTACCATCTAGGTTCAGTTTAGTCTTGTAGACCCACTTAACACCAATCAC